GACACAAAACAGTCGAGTCGAGAGATCTTGAGCAAGGCGCGCGAGCCGAGACCTCCGGGAACTCCAAACGAACACAAACATGGATAATCACCGAGTGTTCAAACGGTGACGTCCAAGTCTTGAGGACGGTCAAAAATGGGGTGTCTACACCCGCCCATTTCTCTTCTCTCTTTGTCTCTCTCTTTTTCTGTGTCTCTCTCTCGCTCATCTCTTTTCGCTCTATTTCTCTCTTTTTTTGTCTATCTCTCGCTCATCTCTTGTTTCTCTCCCTTTTTCTATCTCTCCCTCTATCTCTCTATCTCTTTCTTTCTATCTCTTTTTCTGTCTATCTCTCTCTCTCCATGTCTCTCTCTCACTCATCACTCTTCTCTCTCTCTCTCTCTCTCTCTCTCTCTCTGTCTATTTCTCCCTCACTATGTTCGCCTTGCTCACTCTCTTACTTCCATCTTTTCTATTTATCAAGCTCGTTCTCGATTTATCGATCCACTATAAACGACGTCGTCTTACTCTTTTGAACATTTCTTTTTTCACCAATTTTTTCATCTTCCTATCTCTCTGTCTTTGTCTCTCTTCTCTTTCTCTCTCTTACTCATCACTCTTCTTTGTCTGTCTCTCCCTTTCTGAATATATCTCCTTCGCCATCACCACCACCACCATCATCTCTTGTCCACCACCTTCACCACTACTGCCGCTTCCTCCCCTCTACCACAAAATATTACCTCTTCTCTCTCTCTCACTTGTCACTCTTCTCTGTCTGTCTGTCTTTGTCTCTGCCTCTGTCTCTTTCTCTTTCTCTCTTTGTCTCTCGCTCATCTCTCTTCTCTTTATCTCTCTCATCTCCTTATCTCTCTTCTCTCTCGCTCATTTATCTTCTCTCTATCTCTCTTTCTATCTCTCTCGCTCATCTTTCTTCTCTCTTCGTCTCTCTCTTTTTCTATGTCTTTCTCTCGATCATCTCTTTTCGCTCTCTTTCTCTCTCTCTTTGTCTATCTCTCGCTCATCTCTTGCTTCTCTCTATTTTTCTATATGTCTCTCTCTCTCTATATCTCTTTCTCTCTTTGTCTCTCTCTCACTTATCACTATTCTCTCTCACTTTCTCTCTCTGTGTCTGTTTGTCTGTCTCTCACTCTTCTCTCTCTCTTTCTCTATGTGTCTGTCTATCTGTCTCTCTTCTTCATTGTGTTCACCTTACTCACTCTCTCCATCATCTCTTCTCTATTTGCCGAGCTCTCCACTACAAGAAAATGCACTTTTAGCGACCACTTTGTCTCTCTTTCGCTCATCACTTTATCTCTGTCTGTCTGTCTATCTCTCTCTTTCTCTCTATCTGTCTTTCACTCATCTCTCTCTCACCACCCATCTTCTCTACCACATTCACCACTACTGCAAATGCAATTCCACTACTACCATTGTTGTCACTCAACCTCTACAATTATCATTACTACCACCATCGCTACCACTCCACTATCACCACTACTACTACCATTATCTCTTATCCACAATCGCTATTCTATCTCATCTACAACTACCACAACTTCACCACTTATCTCCTTCACCATCACTACCACCACCACTATCACCTCTTATCCACCACTTTCACCACTACTGCCACTTCCCATCCTCTACCACAAAAAATTAGTTCTTGATTTTTAGTAACAAAAAAAAAAGGGTCGCAGAAAAATATTTTTCATTGATGACAAAAAATTAACTTTATTTTAATGGAAAATATTTTTTATTCAAAATGAAAAAAAAAATAATAATAAAAAAAATTAATAATTTTTTATTCATTAAAATAAATATAAAACAAATAAATTTTCAACCTTATTAAATGAAAAAAAAATCATTAACTATAAAAAAAATTATTTTAACAAAAAATAATTTTTTTGGCAACGGCATCCTCCGTTGCAAAAAAAAAAATGTCATTTTATTATTTAAATATTCATTTGTAATGAAAATAAAAAAAAATTCATTTGTAATCTCTTCCAATATTCATTTGTAATGAAAATTAAAAAAAAAAAAATTCACCCCTCATTTTCCATTCTCGCTCGGGTTTCCTCCCACCCCAAACCCAAAATCCCCCCCCTTTTCCATTCCAGCTCGGGTTTCCCCCCACCCAAACCCAAAATCCCCAACACTTTCAGAGCTCGAGTCCAGAAGATCTTCGGGCCTCTCTCATCATCATCATCATCATCATCATCATCATCATCGCTAAACCCTCCGTGGTCTCTCACCGACGGCGAGGTCGAGAAGAGAGAGTGGCGACGACCCTCCTCCGCCAAAGACGACGACCAAACCCCCATTTCTTTCTCTTTCGATGGCCTTGTTTGTAGGGTTGTAGGGTTCTGCCATGAAAGGAGGTAGATCGAAAACGGAGACCAAAAGGACCGATAGCAAGTAAGTTTTGTTTGCCTTGTTGTTTTTGGAGTTTTTGGATTTGAGATCTATTATGCGTGTGATTCAGAGTGTGTTTTTTTGGAATTGAAGATCGTTTTTTTTGTTGTTAGGCTTTCGGTGAAAAGAGGTGCTCCGAGCGAGAAGGCTGGTAAAAAGCCAGCGGCGAAGAAGGGGAAGGCTGCCAAGGACCCTAACAAGCCGAAGAGGCCTGCTAGTGCTTTCTTTGTTTTCATGTGATCATCTATTTTCCTCTCTCTCGCATGAAAATCGTTGTTAGATCTGTATATTCTGCGTCAATGAATATATTTTTAAATGTTTTAGGGAGGAGTTTAGGAAAACGTACAAAGAGAAGCATCCTCACAACAAATGCGTAGCCGCCGTGAGTGTTTTCACCTCATTTGTTTTACAGATTTCTGATTTGTGGATTTTGTTCAAGTTTGATTTCAAGAAAATGGTAACATTCTTCATGATTCAATTAATTTACTATTATTTAATCAATCCCTAGATGTTTTAGGAAATTATTATTTGATTATTTGCAATAATGGTTGGTATAGGATGAGGGTCCAGTTGATGAAGAAGAGTCTGACAAGTCAAGGTCGGAGGTGAACGATGAGGATGACGAAGACGATGAGAGTGGGGAGGTTAGTTTTATTGTATTCGGTCTTGCTTGTAGGGTTGCTTGTAATTTGTTTCTTTATATATATTTGGATGAGTGCGGGAATTTGGAGGTTTCAACTAGCTTCAAACTTTCCTTGGGAAATCAATGGACTGGCTGTTTACATCCAAGGCTGATATGTTCCTTGTTTAATCTACATTATGATGTTTTATGTTGGATATGATTGGTTTTTATGTTTTCATAGAAATCTAAGAAGTGGGAATTGAATCACATATGTTGATGTTTTCCAGTCAATTACATGTTGCTCTTTAGATCTGGTTTTGTAGTTTTATACTTGGTTTTGTGTTGATGACGGATTGATTGATCTTTGTAAAGTTTGAATTTGTGGATATGAATTTGTTTTTGAATTCAATTGGTGGGATTATTTGTTGTAGGATGGAAATAGAGCCTGGAAAGTTATTCATTGGTGGGATTTCTTGGGACACGAACAAAGACCGTCTGAGAGAGTATTTCCAAACTTTTGGTGAGGTAGTTGAAGCTGTGATAATGAAGGATCGGAACACAGGGCGTGCTCGTGGTTTCGGTTTTGTTGTCTTTGCTGATCCCTTTGTTGCAGAAAGAGCTGTTAGGGAAAAGCACATCATAGATGGTAGAACTGTAAGTTGTGCATTTGAATTAAAGTTTTGTTTGTCATTACAGATTTTTCTTACTTATATTTCAACGGGTAATTTTGCTTACATTAAGAATTGAAGTATAGCGTCTCATAACAACTATACTTTTCCGATTGATTCTTGATGTAGTATCAAAACTAAGTTGAAAATTATGACTGGATGTAGTTTGTCATAGAATTTATTTTGTAATGAAGCGAAACCCAATTAATTTCGATTTATGATATGTTTGAGGTGCATTTATTAGGTAGACATGTACGTTATGCATTTGAATTAAATTTTTGTTTGGCATTAAACTTTGCTCAATATATATTTCAATCATTATTTTACTTATATTGTGAATTGAATTGAAGTATATAGCATCTCAAAACTTAGTCAAGCAAGTATACCGTTTTGATTGAATCTTAAATGTGTATCCGAATTAAGCAGAAAATTATTCCTGAATGTAGTTTTTCAGAGAATTGATTCATTCTCCATTTACTTGTAATAAAGTGAAACCCAATTCATTTCAATTTACGGTGCATTTAAATTTAGCAGGTCAAATCTGATCATTTCTAACCGTTGCTCATTAACAAATTTATAGAAATTGCTCATTAACACAATTAAAATTTAGCAGGTCAAACCTTGACTGTATTCATCTTTATAGAAATTGCGCAAATATAAGACCTTTTTTAGAAACCTTTTTATAGAAATTGCGCAAATATAAGATATTTCTAACCTTTTTTGGACAGATTCAAATTTAGCAGGTCAAACCTTGACTGTATTCATCTTTCTATAATTGTGTGGGACTCTTTATTTGCATGCAACAAATTTCTGTACCCTTTTTAATGTTCTTATAACATATTTGCGAAGACAAGTAAATATCCTCAATCTCATAGAAAGGTTGGGAGTTTTTCTTTTTTCCTTTTTCTTTGTGTCTTCCCACAGAGGTGGTTTCTTTCTTTAGGGAATGAAATCTTTGGTCTTGCTTGTCACACAGTAAAATAATTAAGATTACACGTGACTCGTGACTCGTAACTCTCACGGATTCTTTCTCGCATTTTGAATATCCAAAAGGAATGCTGCCCTTCCATTTTTGTCCATGAACAGAATGCCAGATCATGGCATGGAGAAACTATCACTGCAAAAGTGATTGCTTATTTTATTGACATTTTTTTTTGCGATTTCTCTGTTTTTCTAGTGAATCTAAAAAATGCCTTTGTTTAATTTGGCATGCCTTTCTTTCTTTGCAGCGATCTCATGCCAGTGGAGACACGAATTAGGGAAAATTCTCTATACAAGGCCACCACGGTTATAGCTGCAGCTGATCAAATTGCCTTTCATATTCTAGGTGTCCTTGAAGCGTTTTTTGGCATAGAGACCCACAATTTTGCAGTGCAATGGCCGGACAGGGGGTGACAGTTAGGCAAGGAGGGTTTGTTTGTCATAATGCCTTCACAATGACTTGAATACTCGGCATGTAAAATATGGGTCCCAAAGTAAATGGCTCATCCTGTCTAGACCTCAATTTTATTTATGAAAGTGAGAATTTAAATGAAATTTGTTTTATTATTTTAGTAATCAAATTTGATTTATGTTATTTTGAATTATGAACAAAATCATGTATTTAAATATTATATATGTATTATGGAACATTATGTAGTGAGATAATTTTGTTGATGTGTAATTATATGAATGGAAAAATATTTTATTATGAAGAAATTGTTATTTTTATATTATTATGGAGAAATTTTACTATTTTTAATATTTTTATCGTAGGATGTTTTTTTCTTTTTTGCGACGGCATTACACCGTCGCAAAAAATAGAAAATTTTAGTATTTTTATTAATTTTGTTACAGGTTTTACTTTTTGCGACGGCATTATACTGTCTCAAAAAATAGAAATTTTATTATTTAAAATAGAAATTTTATTATTTGTTAATACTTTTTGCGACATCATTACACTGTCGCAAAAAATAGAAATTTTCATATTTTTAATACTTTTTGCGACGGTACCACACCGTCACAAAAACAGTGTTTTTGCCGTTGCCAAAAAAGACTATCAGCGACGGTATTTTTTGCCGTCTCAAATAACATTTTTAGCGACGGTAAAATAGTGTCGTCGCAAAAAAGTCAAGAAATTTCAAACATTATTAGCGACTACACAGTGCCGTCGCAAAAAGGCAAAAATGCCGTCTCAAAACATTAGCGACGACACTGTGCCGTCGCAAAAACTCTTTTGCAACCCCTGCATTTGCGACCCCCTCTTGCCGTCGCAAAAAGTCATTTTGCCATCGCAAAAAGTATTAGCGATGGCATTAGGAGTATTAGTGACGGTATTTTACCGTCACAAAAAGTCAATTTTTTTGTAGTGATTCATTCTGTTAGAAATGGTTTTGGAAAAAACAGATTTTTTCTCAATTTTAGTCTAATTTTTAGGTGGGACCCATGTGCCAAAGTTGGCGGGTCTAAGTGGTAACGCGTTCTATGCTGTGTTGTGATTCACGTAGTATATTTGGCTGCTCAAAACCATTATCGGGTGAATAGAAAATTGAATCAAAGTGAGCTCCATGGAAATGGTATATTGGTAAAGTTTCCTTGAAGGTTTGAATTAAAGGTTTATCCCACATTGGTTTGGTGAGCAAACTTTTATAGGTTTATAAGGCATGGGTTTGCAACTTGGGAAGGGCCCCAAGGAGTACCCAAGTTTTGTCGAAGGGTGAGGTTATGGGCAAAGTGGGATAAATCCATTGGATCCAAAATAAATACGCGCGCCGTCCGGTTGAGCTTGGGTGCAAGTATAAGGTTGGGTTGGGCTTGTTTGGCCCAATGCTTATCTTTTTTAAAATTAAATTCTTACCTTTTTTGAATTTAAATTTTGAAAACAATTCCGAAATAGTGTCCAGATTATTCCTACACCCAAATAGGTCCATATCTGTCCAATATAAACTGAACAGATTCAGTTATCTGTTCAAAATTCAAATCGAACAGGTTGTATCTATTCAAACAGTGCCGATCAAGTATGGTACCTGTTCAAACAGATCTGCTACCTGTTGGATTCAAACCGAACAACCACTTTTGCACCTATAAATAGTCAAGTCCCTTATTTGGTTTTTTACTTAATTTTTCGTCTTTAATTCTACTGTTGTTCTCTCTGCATTTTGCTGCATTATTTTCCTGTGAGAAAGAAGAGTGTAAACACAAAGTGTTTTCGTTGTATGAATAGTTTGTAGCGCTGCTACTATTCAATGTTGATCATTTTATCTTGGGAGATAGACGTCCATAATCTAAAAGCACCGCAGAGAGGACGAATCTATCTTAAGAACACAGTGTTAAACACTGAATTTGATCAAAAATTTGTCGCCAAATAAATAAGGTAAGTAATTAATTTACTTTTTGTTTTATTTATTTTTATCAGATTTTGATTTTGTTTTTGTAACAAGATAAAAATCTGTTGTTTGATTTTATTTTATATACTGTTTTGATTTTTGTAATCAAACAGTTTATCTCATTTCTTTAATTCTTCAAATATAGTAAAGGTTGTCCAACACATTCAACAAGCGGAAACTTAATTAAATCCCAATACATTCTATATGCTCATCAACACTATTAATATTACAAAATCATATCACATGCATTAATACATTCACAGATTCCAAAACCGAAATATATAGCATGTGATCAATAAACAATATTATCTAAATTATTACAATTTCATGCCTTACTGGTTACAAGTTTTCAAAATTATACGTAGTTACAATAAAAGTGGGTTTTAAACCCAATACACAATAACATGTGGCTTACACAGAATTAAACACAAAAATAAGTGTTTAACTCCAGCTTCTTCCCAAGCTATCCCCTTGGCGGAGGCAAACCATCAGCACCTAAAATGTTTTTCCACATAGGGTAAACTAAAACTCAGTAGAAACAAATTTAATGATATGTATGATGTTTAATAAATCCATATGGTAAATACATATGACATGCCGTTATAAAATATGCATTTCCCCCTTTAGAAACAATGTTATGTCAGAGTTCAAATTATAATTTATATATTTGCTTCAATACAAAAAGCATGGCAGTAAATACACACACTGGTAATCTCTAGGTACGTATCTACAAGTAGGCTATAAATGCACTACTAAAGCCACACTTTACCGGCAATTAACTGAAAGGAAGGCATCCCTAACCGCGCAAATTTCTAAACTTTCATCAACGACATGAAGGCTAACTTAATTAACTACAATCACACCCCCTAACTAGATTCACTACGGTATAAGTATGTAACAATGAAATAGATGAAATGCATGAGTGAATGGGTTTCAGTTAACCTAGTTCTCTTGCAATTTCTACAACAAGTAATGCTATCCTCTACCGATAGCCAAAATAATTATCTCTATTCAATATATTCCAACAACGAACAATATATGTATCTTCCCTTAACATTTCTCAATCAACCGATATTTTCCAAATCTCATTCACTTCCATATAATTCAAGTTCATGGATTTACCTTTGATTTCAACAACACAAAATACTCCTCAACATTGAGCCAATTTCAAGGGTTTTGGTAAAAGTATTGAGGTTTCTCATTTTAAAGACAATTTCATCAAATCCCTTCAAGTTTCCAATACCACTCATCATTGTCAACAACCAAATAGAGTTTTGAAGAAAACATTAAGAAAAACCCCACTTTTATGCATTAAAACATACATTAATTAAACCCTTCTTGTTATTTAACAAGGTTAAATACCATGCAAATTATTAAAGAAATCCTTACCTCAAAGTAAAAGGAGCGAAGAAGAACAACCAAAAAGTTAACGGCGACAAAAACTCAAACTTTTCAAGTTAAAATGTAACCCTCAACGTGCACTACCTTAAAGCCTTAAGTACTAGGGGTACGAAATGGGTGAAGCTAAATGAAAGCCAAGGTTTTAAAGCTTAAAAGCCAAAAATGGAAATTTAGAGAGAGAGAGAGAGAAGAAGAAAATGAGCTCAAAAGTTAGATATTTCTAGCTTTTGGGTGATATTTATAGTCAGTTGCATCACAAGTGCGAACTTAACATCACAGGCACGAAAGACACAATCACAGGCACAGACAACCA